TCATCCCCTGACTTCTCTTGCCATAGGCTTGAGACTATTTGGGCTCACCCGCCAAGGTCTCATTATCAGGACTCTTGTCTCACTCCTCAGTAGGTCTTTCTTCCAAGGCTTTGCCCATGGCTTGCTCCTCCGGTGAGTCAGAGGACCTTCTGCCCTCCTTCTCCACTAGATGGTTTTGATCTATCACTCCTGGATCTGTTGCCTCCTTCTCAAGTATTTCTTCCTCACTCCAAGATCTCGATTCTCTCTGCAGTTGTTGTGATATGTCTAGGGTCATTAAACAGTGCCCCTGGAGAGTTACCCGGAGAACCTTCCATCAAGATTTCTTTACGTAGACCTCATCATTGGGGTCTCTCTCTGTGTCCTCTGCTCTTTTTACATAAGGGAAATAAGAGTCTAATCAGTTCCTATTATCACTGCATAGGGCAACGACTTTACCACATCCACTCTCTGACACTTAAACTTTCCTTCTATTTCCAACTGCCACAGAGTAAGTCTTCTTTTCCCCATGTACACAGTGGATTGCTATCATCACCCCCTTCTGTTGCCACTGCAATCTAACCGATGTACTCTGTGTGAGGCAGCATGCGGCTGTCAAATCTACCATGCCCTTTGTGGTTCTCCAGCCTACTTTGATGGGAAATGTCCTTATCCCAGGCCCACATTTTACACCAGTGCACCCACAGAACTCCACAAACCCATAGTCCATGTATGGTCAGTCTTCGTTTTTGTATATCCTTTGCAGCCACATTGGTAACAAACCACTGAGTTAGTGCTAGGGGCACTCTTGTTTGCTTCTTGTATTTCCTTTCCGGGCTTCGATTAATGGGATTCCTCAACAGTCTTTCCCCCCCTCCCTTGATGTAGGGGGATGGAGCTCTTTTCATGGAAGAGCTGCTTCCACATACTCCTCTGTTAATTTTACAGTGTCCTCTAGCAATTCTGGCTGATGGCTTTGAACCCAAACTCTTGCAGCCTTGGGGAGGCTTTGTGTAAACTGCTCAAGAATAATTGAGTATTATGGTCCCTGTGTCCTGCTTATCTGGCTTCAACCACAGATTGGCCCAGCCCAGATAATTTTTGCACAAAAGCATAGGGATGATCCTGCAGTTCCATCTGGCAGCTCTAAATTTGTGACACTATTTCTTCATTGACAGGCCCATCCTGTCCAGAATAGCAGCCTTCAGCATGGCATAGTCTTTGGCGTGGTACTCATAAGCCACCTGAGCCTCGCCGGTCAGGTAAGGGGCAAGTCACAGTGCCGAAGTACCCGTGTCCCATCCAGCACGGATAGCTACCCACTCAGAAGTTAACAAAAAGGCACCAGGATCATCCCTGGGGCCTTCTTACATAGCCTCAGGCCCACTGTCCAATTTCCAGTTCCCTCATAGGAACTCACCCACCAGTGCAGTGCAGGAGCTGCTGCTGTAACTGAGACTGCTCTTGGATAAAGCCCTGCAATGCTCATTCCTGCTCTACCTGCCAACCCAGAAGCATTTGCCTCTCTGCCTGCTAGCTCTTCTCTATCTCTTTTTGTTGTCCCACTACCAGTGCAGCATCTCCTCCGTTATGTCTGGATCTCCCAGCTCTCATACAGGTCACCCCTCAAGCCACCGTCTCTCGACTGAGAGAGTTACAATCCCAGGGCATGCCACAGGGCACCTCTTCAGTTACCCAGTGAGCAGCAATGCCTCGCCTGTGTTTGTGGTCTCTCAGTCACACCTTTAATCCTGTTTCTAAACAGGACAGGACATAGCACAGGTGCCCGGAAGGAGGCCATTCACACAGCTTCGCTATTCCAGTCAGCTCCCCCTTGGAGCTCCCCCTTTACTTCCTGTTCCACCCAATTATATATCCTCCCCGTTATCGACTCAATTGCCTCAGGAGCTCAACAATTGCCAACCAGTGTCAGTAACCCCCACCAGCAACAGGATGATTGAGTCCAATTAAACCTATGGTCTTCTCTGTGCTGCAGCAACCTCAGTGATCAGGGAGCTACTGCTAGCACTGTGTCACAGGGTCTGACAAGGATTCAGAGTTTTTCTTCTTTGAAAATAATGAAAATTAAAGGAAACTAAATGTGCAAACCCTTGTTAAAATGATAAAGGGTTTGTGTAAACCTTCTAGAGCCAGAAACTTCAGAATTAAGGCTTTTCATTTCATCCTTAATTACTGTGTTTAGATAGTTCAGGAATCTTAGCAGTGCAAGTGCAATAAGACTTCACCTACTGTCAAAGATTAGGAACAAGGATGATGGGTTCATTCTAGGTGGAATATGAGGCAGCTATAAAACGTATATGACATAAGGCAACTATTTTGCCTTCGTCATTTTGTAACACTTTCTTTCATTATATTTCAGAGGAACAGCCGTGTTAGTCTGTATTCGCAAAAAGAAAAGGAGGACTTGTGGCACCTTAGAGACTAACCAATTTATTTGAGCATGAGCTTTCGTGAGCTACAGCTCACTTGATGAAGTGAGCTGTAGCTCACGAAAGCTCATGCTCAAATAAATTGGTTAGTCTCTAAGGTGCCACAAGTCCTCCTTTTCTTTTTTCATTATATTGTAGCATATAAAATCCCTGACAAAAGTCAATACAAAATAAAAGCTGTTTGACTATTGGAATATTTAATTACATCAGCATGGGTGAAATTAGAATCTTACCAGTAGTTTAACTTTGTTTTTAATATGTTTTTCAAGGCTTGTATTTTACTCCAAACTTGACTCATTAAACAACAGCAATTTAGACTGTTAATATCCCTGTGTTATTTCCCATTAATACAATTTACCTTTATATTCGCAAGTATATTTTCTATACCTCTAGATCATTTACTTGTATAACCTCAGGTATAGTCAATGGTGTACTGTTCTACAAAGATCCTTTTGAAACATAAATAAATGGTTGTACGGGAAAACAAGTCTGAAAAGAAGTGGAAAAAGTTCCCTTCTGCCATCACTAAAAACTTCACATTCCACTACCCAATAGTAACACTAAGCAATAGTAATATTACAAAGGCCTTCATGGTGTTCTGCCATCCCTTCTCAGACTTAGGCTATCAGGGTTGGAAGGGACCTCAGGAGATCATCTAGTCCAACCCCCTGCTCAAAGCAGGACCAATCCCTAATTTTTGCCCCAGATCCCTAAGGGGCAATCCCCCAAGGATTGAACTCACAACCCTGGGTTTAGCAAGCTAATGCTCAGACCTTGAGTTGTAATCTACTTCTCAGTGAAATACAGTAAAGAACAAAAGTAGGAGATAACAAATACATTTAAAATGTAACTTAGCTAAAAAATAAAATGGAGCAACTTAAATATTTGGGCAAGTTGAATTACTTGAGTTAAATTTCACAGTCTACAGATGTTTGCTAGCTACACTGAAATATGATCTGGAGAATCTTTTCCATTTGTTCCCCTTCTTAGTCACAATACTTTTTGGTTTTCTCTCAACATCTAGAGGTAATCTTTCAGCAGACAGTGCAAGTATGTCAATGCTCAACTACTTCCAATAGCTAAATCTTCATTGTGACATATTTGGAACTGCCCTGTGGTAATTTATGAATATACTGAATTAACTCAACAGGAGTTTGTCTCGAAAAAACAGGCAGGAAGGAAACAAACAGCTCAAGATAAGCCTCCGCTGAGCAAACACATGAGAGTTGCTAAGCTACAATGCCAGAACCATTGTCTCTGCAGACTCTGGTTCCATCTTCCTCTGAGCCTGAAGGATGGGTTTTGATCAGAAGAGAGAAAGCCTGGGAACACAGCAGAACAAGGGAACTATAGCATGGTTTAAAAGGGACTCTCTTTCTACAGAAGGGTGGTAGTTGTTGTGGGGAACCAGATTCAGACTCAGCACCTCCCTGAAGGTATCTGAAGAAGTTAGCAATGCCCAGGTTACCACCTGAAGATGGTATGTCTTTAGATAAGATAGACATGTGTGTATGCTGTTTGTTGTTTTAAAATCCCTTTTCTCTAAAAGCTTTGTCTTTACAAATAAAATACACACGACTTTTGTTTTAAGAAGGCTGTGTGATCACTGTACATAATTGGTCACAGACTCCTGAAGGGAAGAACTACAGGTGCCCAAACTTGGTTGGACCTGCAGGATAAGAACAGTTGATACATGGTGTACTGTGGCCAGGCGCTGGGCTAGGAGTGGGAGAATTGTATGATTCCATCCTAGGATAGGTGAAGGGAAAAGACTTGACACCTGGTGGGGAGCACTCAGAGAGTCCATAAAGCGGACAGAAAGGCAGTTACCCTTGTAATCGTGACACTTATGGACAATGCTGACCATTTATTCCTGAATCATAACTCATTTTAGCTCACATAAATACAGATGGAATACTATAATCAAATGGACAAATTCTCTCTTAAGAAAAGCCTTGTACACTCAGAGACAATACTATAAACTTATGGAGTCAATCCTCGCCCTCAGCTAAAAGTTTTAGGGTTGGGAATGGCAGAAAACGATGTGTTCTGCCTGCCTCTCCAGTCCCTGCTGTCCGCTTCAGCAACTCTTTCAACATCCCACTATGTGAAAACAGAAGCAATTATACAATCATTGGAAGCTGTTTGGTAGTACTATTACAGGTACTGTACTGTTTTATTTAGCCAATTCTGTTTAGCCAAATGCAGCTAGATCTTGGAGGAACTGTTTTGTGATAGTTGTGCTGCAGTCCTTTGTGGGATAAATGAATGTCTCTACAGCCAACCGGACATCCAAGCAAATAAACACATATGGGCCTGATTTTAATTGGCACTGTGGCCCCTTTACACAAGCAATGCAAAGGGGCCATAAAGTGAGCATAAATTATGTTTGTATTTTAGGAGTTTTCACCCTTAATTATAAATGGCTTACCATTAATTACCAAGCAATTTATAATTATTAAGGTGATCCTGCTACACATTTTTTATCACATGCTCACAAACACGATATATTAACTCTGCCTATCTCACTGATAGGCACTTACTCTCATTGCTGAAAGTAACTTCCATTACCTGATCTTGGGATTTCTTTTTCTTCTTCTTCTTGCCCCAACAACCTGAACTCTCTGTATCTTTGCCATTAGCATCACCACACAGTAACCCATCAAGTTCATCTGTTCCCATCTGTTGTCCCTGAGACGTTTCTGCAGCGAGCCTGTATGAGAGGTTCCTCAAAATGCATACACAGTTTTCAACGGTCTAAAAAGGAGGAGAAAAAGAGAAAAAGGCTAAAAAACCTCTCCTTTTTTAGGTGTGTATATTGAATGGAGGAACGTAATCCATCTTTGCACATATATTTGTACAAAGATATTCTTTTCTGTTTGTTTCTAAGCACTCCCTAGACAATCACTGTTTGAAAGGTTTAGAAAACTTGGCAGGATCATAAAGCCTCTTTTTAGTGAGGAATAGAGCTCTGGATAATGTTTCTAAAAGACTTTGTGACTGTGGTTCTGAATTTCATGCTGAATTCAACACGAGAGAGTAGCAGAGGCAAAAATATGGCAAACAAGATCCACACAAGCACAGAACGCACACTGATTACAGCCCCACCTAGTAAAAAGAAAAATGATGCTATTATTTCTCACAGCATTTATTTCTTGTGTCAATTCTATACGAAGCAGGAGTGAGAAAACCTTAAGTGGTCCTGAGTTTTTGTTTGCAAGAGTACCCATAATTTAATATGCTCATAAATGATCTACCCCACTGGAAGTCTGCAAAGTTTTTCCTGCTTCCATTCAAGTTGAAAATACCTTAGGAATAGCCCCCCTCTCTTGGTATTTTGGCCTTTCTGTGTATGATCCTAGTTGGAATCTGGAAGTGGAGTGGGGCCCATTATAGAAAAAAATGATGGGGAAAATTTAACAGAACTTCAAATCTCAAAAACGAATTTGATTTGGACTTTGGTTGAAGGCTAGTTCTTATTTTCTCTAATTTGGTTTGCCAATGTCTAGTCAGAAAAATATGTCCTTCATTTCTTGGGGGACTGAAAACATGGTTAACCTGCTTACCTTTCAAAGGAAAACTGAAATGCTCTTTAAATAAATCAGTACATACAAAATCCTAAATCTTGGCTCCACCCTCCCATGGAGTACATGGGGGGTGGTATAAACAGTGTAAGTAGGGATACAATTAGTACTACTAGCAGCTACTTTGTGCCATTATTGAACGGCAGACTATAACCAGTACTTTTCTTAATCAGTTCTTTGCAGACGATGCATACCAATTGAGGAGCATGGGGCCCAGTTCCATGGGGGTTTGTTACGCACTGTCATACATGGAGGTTTGGGGGCAGGAGTGGGGCTGAAGTTCTGCAGGTCCCCTGGACCTTCCTTTACTAAGAGGTAGGCTCTAGAACTGCAGAATTTACTGTCAACCTTTGGCTGGTAATATAGGATTCAGAATAGCTCTACTCCTGCTTAGTGGCCTTTGGAAGGAAGGACTCCACTTCAATTGCTCTGGTGGATATATTATTTATTATTAAAATGGCACTATACAGGTACTGCACAGCTGCTGGTTTTCTCGATGCTAGTGGATGGGCTTCTTCACTAATCACTTCCATAAAAACGTTTACTAATGGTAAATTGATTGTAGATTACCACAAGCATGCATACAAGATAGCATGGAGCATAGATTCTTTCACAGATTCCATATTTCTCTACTGAATCTATAGGAAAAGTCCACGCACTTTGCTCAGATTAGCAATCTGAAAATCCAAAAGGTACACCTACAAGCACTTCACAGCATGCATGAACTGTGAAATGTACTTGAAACTAATGTTAGATACAACTGGCATTTCTGTGTTAGTGCTTGCAACCACTGTCTTGAAATGTGAAATAATCAATAACATGTCACAGAATTTAAAACACTTCCCTTCCCCGTAATACTGATTTCACAATCACAAATTTTTTAATTGGCAATTATTTGGAGTTCTTTTAATTATTAAGTAGAACTATTAAGTAGTACCTTTCATCTCTGAAGAATTGTATTAATCTCCTAGTTACTGTACATATAAAACGAAACAAGTATTTTGTAGGGCTGTCAAGCAATTAAAATATTAATCGTGATTAATCATGCTGTTAAACAATAATACAATACCATTTATTTAAATATTTTTGGATGTTTTCTACATTTTCAAATATATTGATTTAAGTTACAACATAGAAGACAAAGTGTACAGTGCTCACTTTATATTGATTTTTGATTACAAATATTTGCACTGTAAAAAACAAAAAATAGTATTTTTCAGTTCCCCCATTATAAGTACTGTAGTGCAATCTCTTTATCATGAAAGTTGAACTTACAAATGTAGAATTATGTACAAAAAACCCTGCATTCAGAAATAAAACAATGTAAACTTTGGAGCCTAGAAGTCCACTCAGTCCTACTTCTTGTTCAGCTGATCGCTCAGACAAACAAATTTGTTTACATTTGCAGGAGATAATGCTGCCCACTTCTTGTTTACAGTGTCACCTGAAAATGAGAAGAGGTGTTCACACGGCACTGTTGTAGCCAGCATCGCAAGATATTTACATGCCAGATGCGCTAAAGATTCCTATGTCCCTCCATGCTTCAACCACCATTCCAGAGGATATGTATCCATGCTGATGATGGATTCTGCTCGATAACAATCCAAAGCAGTGTGGATCAATACAAGTTCATTTTCATCATCTGCGTCAGATGCTACCAGCAGAAGGCTGACTTTCTTTTTTGGTGGTTCGGGTTCTGTTGTTTCTGAATCAGAGCGTTGCTCTTTTAAGACTTCTGAAAGCATTCTCCATACCTCATACCTCTCAGATTTTGGAAGGAAGATTCTTAAACCTTGGGTCAAGTGCTGTATCTATCTTTAGAAATTTCACATTGGTACCTTCTTTGCCTTTTGTCAAATCTGCAGTGAAAGTGTTCTTAAAATGAACAACATGTGCTGGGTCATCAACTGAGATTGCTATAATATGAAATATATGGCAGAATGGGGGTAAAACAGAGCAGGAGATGTACAATTCTCCCACAATGAATTCAGTAACAAATTTAATTAACGCATTATTTTTCTAATGAGCGTCGTTAGCATGGAAGCATGTCCTCTGGAATGGTGGCTGAAGCATGAAGGGGCGTATGAATGTTTAGCATATCTGGCATGTAAATACCTTGCAATACTGGCTACAAAAGTGTCATGCAAAAGCCTGTTCTCACTTTCAGGTAACATTGTAATTAAGAAGCAGGCAGCATTATCTCCTATAAATGTAAACAAGCTTGTTTGTCTGAGCAATTGGCTGAGCAAGAAGTAGGACTGAGCAGACTTGTAGGCTTTAAAGTTTTACACTGTTTTGTTTTTGAGTGCAGTTATATAACAAAAACAAAAACTACATTTGTAAGTTGCACTTTCATGATAAAGAGATTATAGTACAGTACTTGTATGAGGTGAATTGAAAATACTATTTCTTTTGTTCATCATTTTTACAGTGCAAACATTTGTAATAAAAATAGTAATATAATGTGAGCACTATACACTTTGTATTCTGTGTTGTAATTGAAATCAATATATTTGAAAATGTAGACAAATATCCAAAAATATTTAATAAATTGCAATTGGTATTCTATTGTTTAACAAAAAAAGAACAGGAGTACTTGTGGCACCTTAGAGACTAACCAATTTATTTGAGCATAAGCTTTCGTGAGCTACAGCTCACTTCATCGGATGCATTGTTTAACGGTGAGATTAAAACTGTGATTAATCACAATTAATTTTTTTGATTTAATTGCTTGAGTTAACTGCAATTAATCGACAGCCCTAGTATTTTGGTGCCAGCCTACAGTGGCTGGTATTAAAAAAAAATACCATTCACAAATATTTATCACATAGGTGTATCCACAGTTCCACTTTCTATTTAGAATATGAAGTAAAATTGGTAACTGTGTAGTATCTGTTTGCAAATGTTGATTTGTAATGGCAGCCACTGTACTTCCTCACGGTCCACCTCATAAAAACCACTGCATAGCTGTTAGGGTAGCTCATAAACACATGGCACAGCACCTCAGAAATAAATTTGCAGAGCTGCGTGTGGAAGTTTTCACAGAGCTTCATGCATTGGTGCCTTTCTCAAGCCAAAGTTTCATTTATTTTTTCCTAATAATTTAAAAAAAGAGGAGAGAGAGAGAGAGAGAGAGAGAGAGAAAGAGAACACACTATACAGTACATATACAAATATAATTCCAGAGCAGTCATATACAGTATATGGAAACACTGCTCAATAGAAAGAAAGTCAAAGAGATTAAGGGCCAAATTCTGCCCTGCTCATGTACCCAGTGCAATCCCCATATATATTTTTAAATCTCCTTTTTTATTCCTTGCTTTTCCACTTCTACAAAGACAAAGATGACAAACCTTGCTATCAATTTCACTGCTCCCAAGAGCAGACTGAATCACGTATAACAATGCATCAGTAAGTCCATCACACTCCCTCATTCTTCTGCGGGCCTCCTCTCCAGCAGAGCTGACATTCCTACAAGACAACAGTAAGGAGAGTCAATGTTTTCCCAACTTTGTCATTCGATTTCTGTAGCAAAATATTCTCATCATTAACACTCATTTAAAAGAGGTTTTTTTCCTCTTGTACTTCCTATATCATTGTTTCAGATGAGCAAGTAATGAGAATGGTTGTGAACGAGGTAAGGAAACATAACATAGAGGGGAACAAATTAGAAACAGTTGGTCATCTTAGATGATTTTAGAGCTGGAAGGATGCCAATCTTAGGTACATTCTGGACCATTCCTGGACTGAAAGAATCTAAGGCTACTAGAATTTGTGGAGGGATTGTTCCTTTCTCTTAGGAGTGAGATTTTATTTTATTTTTTTCAGGAAAACGTTTTCAACCTCCTCCTCAACCCTACACCCTTTTTTTCAAACTTTGAAAAGTGTAGAGGGTTTTCAAAAGTGTAAAGAAATCTGTTGGGGTTGGAAAGAGCATCTTCAATAGTGTGGGCTCTTCACCCTCCTGAATAGTGTAACCTAGAATAAAAATATTATCAAAGCGCAATGTGAAACAGTTGGTATTCCTCAGAAATGGTAATCTGTTGCTTTCATCCACTCTTTTTATTTTTCATTTTGCACAAGTGTTTGCTTCTCTCTGTCTCTCATTTTCAGAGAACATTACTGCATCAATCTTGTTCACTAAAAATTGTTCTACATAGAGATATTTAAAACCAACTCATTATAATATTTTTTTGTTTATTTTGTGCTTTTGCCTGAAGGCTTCTGAACCCATTTTACACAAAGATAACTAAAACTACCCAATGGCACTATGGCTTAATACTCAAACAAATATTATTATTAATATATGTGTGTGTATACAAAATACATACTTGACAACATCAGCTGACAAAAATCACATTCAGATTTCCACAAATGTGTGTAAGCGATCACAGAATAATAGAAATACATGGCTGTAAGGGACCTTGACAGTTCACCTCATCCATCCCCCCACATTGAGACAGGAGCAAGTAAACCTAGACCATCCCGACAAATATTTTGTCTAGCCTGTTCTTAAAAAACTCCAGCGACGGATATTCTACAACATCCCTAGGTAAGCTATTCCAGTACTTAACTACCCTTATAGTTAGGAAGTTTTTCCTAATATCTAACCTAAAACTCCCTTGCTAAAGATTAGGCCAGTACTTCTTGTGCTACCTTCAGTGGACATGGAGAACAGTTGATCACTGTCCTCTTTATAATAGCCCTTAACATATTTGAAAACTTATTAGGTTCCTACTCAGACTTCTTTTCTCAAGGCTAAATATGGCCACTTTTTTTAACCTTTCCTCATAGGTCAGGTTTTCTAAACCTTTTATAATTTTTGTTGCTTTCCTCTGGGCTGTCTCCAATTTGTCCACATTTTTCTAATGCGTGATGCGCAAAACTTGACACAGTACTCCAGCTGAGGCCTCACCAGTGCCAAGTAGAGTGGAACAATTACCTCCTGTGTCTCACAGTTGACACTTCTGTTTAATGCACCCAGAATGGGATTTTCTTTTTTTTTTTTTAACTGCATCATATTGCGATGGTGCAGAGCCTTTCAGCTCTTCTTGCTTGGTGTGGGCAAGGGTCCCAATGTTGTGGTGGTTTATGACAACTCCTTTTTCACTACTCCCCATAACCACTGCCTGCACCAAGGGAGAGGAGATGGAAAATCCTACACGATCCCTATGTACTTTCATTCTGTATTATAGAAATGGAGAGCGAGTTGCTTGCTCTTCTCCTTGTGTAAAGCTGTAAAGTGCTCTCTCCCTCCAAACCCTTTTCAATCCACTTTATCTTCCATCCTATTATAAAACAGGGGAAGAGGAGACAAAACTTCCAGAGAGGAGAGAATGGATTTAAATAGGAGAGATTGAGAGGATGGGAGAGACTGAGGGATAGATCCCCGTTATCATCTTTCCCAGCTTTGCCCATTCTTTCATCCTCTCTCTCTTCTGAAAGTCAGTTCGGCCCTCCTACAGCACCAATTCATTCTCTCATTGAAACATTAAATCTGTACCCATTGATAATCCCTCCAAAACAGCCTTGTAATTAATTGTGCTCCCCAACAAGCATAACTTCCCATTTATATGCACCCCATACAGTCCCAATTGATTCTGCTGTCACAGTGACAAGAAGCCATTTTTAACTTGATAGCATACATAGCTCCTCCCCATTTAATACATTCATGATGCCAATGAATAGTCACTGGGCCAGGGAAAGAGTGAAAGAATGACTCAAAAGGCTGGGGAAGACCCAAATTCAAGTGAGCTCCAATGACTATTTAATCTATAAAGAATGGAACAGCTTCAACAGAAAAGACTGAGAGAGCCTATGCTACCATATCACAATGGCTAAGACACCCTACTAATATGAGAGACCCATGTTAAAATCCCTTCTCTACATCAGGAAGAAGGTAGAATTGAACCTGTGTCTCCTACACCCCAGGAGAACACCCTCACCAGTGGGTTATAAGGGAGGCCCTTATTTGCCCCATTTTTGTGACTCTATTTCTTTGCTTTTCTAAAAATCACTGAACTCAAAATTAAATTTCAGGTCAGTTCAAAACAAAACTTTTTGTTTCGATCCAACACAAATGTGTATTTTTTACTTTTTTTGATTTGCTAAAATATTTTGAAAAATTGAATGTTCAGTATGACCTGAATTTTTTTTCCTGACTTTTTGGAATTGCCAGTGAACCAAAAAATCCATTAATTGCCCTACTCTGTTCATAATCCCCTAACATCTCTGTGACAGCTTTAGTAATTGCATACATGTATAATGGGTAAGAGGGTTCTGAGCTAATATTATGTGTAACACCATTACATGCCTTCTTTCTCCTGCACCTTAATACATCCACAAACAGTTGCAAACAGTATTTGGAATGTTTTTGTATAACTTCTTAAACAAGGCTATTGGGCAGCAAACCCCACTTTGTTGCTGCTACATATAGTTCAATGCAAGGTTTCCAGCAAAAACATACATTTGTGTACTTCAGTACACACAATCAAACACATTGCCCTCTGATCTTCTCATAGAGATGATTTCTAATTCTCTCTAGTGTGGCCTCAGAATATAGGCATGTCATGTGGACTCTCCAGAGCCTGAGGAGAATGGGGCAGCCCCTCAGTTCCCTTCCAAACACTCCAGAAGCTCCTCAGCAAAACAACAGTTGGAAGACCGTTACAGTCAACAGCAATTCTAGTCCCTAAGCTAAGAGCTGACTGCCTCCTTGGTTTCTAACAAGATAGGGAATCTGTAGCCTGTATCCAGTGTTATAGGTATTGGACTGCAGCCCGTGCAGCAGATGTATCTCTTGGCCCTTCATGGAATGGCTGCTGAGCCTACAGAGTTATCTCAATCTCCTGTTATTTATCACCTTTCCTCCCTAAGCTCCAATTGGCTCAGCAATCAGATGGGGAATGTGTGGAACCGGCAATACTGCTTGCCCTCATTGGAAACCCTCTGCCAGATTCAGAAACAGCTACTGAACATGTCCAGTAACTACCACACCCTTCCTCTAGATATCTCTGGGCCCCTCTACCTAAGTTGTCCTTCCTTACTCTCTGCGGAGGGGCAGACACAAAAAGAATTCAACTAAAATACATCCTCCTCACGGTTTCTTCCCCTTTCTTGGGCTCAAAAAAGATAAATAATTGCTGCAGTATCAGCAGGTCAGTTACACTAGGAAAAGTGACAGTAGGAAAATATTTATATATTTTAATGTTTCATTTTTTAAATTTATTTAGATTTAAACTAATTAAAAAGATGCCTATCCAAGCCTAGCACATCAATAATAATGCAGTAAAATCCCAGCAGCATTAAAGTAATCATCTTAATAGGAACTCAGTCAGCCACCTAAAAAGCCTCATTTTTCACTCCTTTATTTTTGTGGGAAGCATGTCAGCCATCTCCAAAAACCCTACTCAGACAGATGTCTTTTGTAACATGCCTGGAACATCACCAAACTTGGACCATTTTGGACCAAATGGGGCAAAATAACAAGCAGTTTCTTCACGCCAGGAAGTGCTTAGACCAGCTACTGAGCTGAAACAGTTTCAATTTACCAGACCAGGGCGGCTCCATCAGTCCAGGCAAATGAGGCACAGCCTAACCAAAGAATTCAGAAGCTAATTCTCAATCCCCAAAGCCACATTTTATATATGTGTAAGTATGCATATATATATTATTAGGATAGTTAAGCATATATATATTAAAAAGTTAACATAACTAAGCACACAAGAAGAGCTTGTAATCTGTCAGGTTATTCACTCTCTCCTCTCCATAAGTGTAAACATAATGCCAGAATGTAATGCTGCTGGAGGTGAGGCTCAAACTGGGGTCTACGTAATGGAGCCTCATGAAGCTATCTTGTTACCATGGCAATTCACCACAACCAGGAGCCACTTTATGAGGGCCATGGAAACCATGGCTTGGTGAGGCTGCTGCAGCAGTTAAGGATGGCTCTGACAGTGGCGCTGCAGGGGCCTTTCTCCCACCACTGATACAGTGAAGTTGGAGGGGGCTCCCTGCACAGCCAAGTAGCCCAAGAAGACAAAGGGCACTAGGTGTGTTGAACGCTGCAGTTGTTGTGGCCTGGTACATACAGACTCCTGGCCAGGACTGCAATGAGGAGGACAAGCCCTGGCCACGGGGGAGACCATCCCGTTGCTGAACAGTTCTTGCCTGGAGACGGCTCCCATATTGCTGGCTGGCGACAGTGAGTGAGGGAGTGGGGTCATGATAGTGGAGCAGCGTCCTGCATGGCCAGTGACACTGGATCCCTGCAGGCACAAGATGTGGGGAAGGCTGCAGTCTTGGAGGGGCAGAGCAGAAACCCCCATCCAGGACGGCAAGTAAGAGGACATCCACTTTGTAAATGATCCCTGATGCCTCTGCCTAGGGTTGGGGAATTTGCAAATCCTCCCTCCCTGCCCTATGCTTGGGAGGAATCACTCTGTGGGTCCCAGCATGCTAGTACCCTCCCC